TTAAGTATAAAATGAAATAGAATGCAGACACTGATATATACTTAGAAATATTTTTAATTATGTGGAAATCTTCATATGAAGTGAAAATGTTTTTTTAGATATCATATATAATATAATCTCAACAAAGTTTTAAAATATGCATAAAGGGGCCAGCCCAGGGCATAGCGGTTAAGTTCCCGTATTCCGCTTCAGCGGCCTGGGGTTCGTGGGTTCAGATCCTGGGCATGGACATACACACAGCTTATCAAGCCATGCTGTGGCAGTCGTCCCACATAGAAAGCAGAGTAAGATGGACACGGATGTTAGCTCAGGGTTAATCTTCCTCAAAAAAAAAAAAAAATATGCATAGAAAAAAGATTAAAAGGAAATAAATCAAAATGTTAACAAATGGTTGCCTTAGGCATTAAGATTATGGACCCACTTTTTTCTATGTTTCCTAATTCTTCATTTTTTTCTGTACTTTCCTAAGTATCAACAATTACTACTTATCACTTTGAAAATCATAGAAAAAGAATCTAGGGCCTGGTCAGGGCTGTTTAATGGTGTGCTAGGCAGAATGATGACTCCCCAGGATGTCGACGTCCTAAACCCCAGAACAGGTGAATACGTTCAACCTTCCATGGCACAAAGGGACTTTGCAAATGTGATTCAGTCAAGGGTCTTGAGATGGAGAGATTATCCAGGATTATCCTGGTAGGACCAATACAATCACAAAGGTCCTTATCAGAGGGAGGCAGGGGGGTCAGAGGCACAGGAGAGGTGATGATGAAGCAGAAGTTAGAGCGATGTGGGGCCACACGCCAAGGAATGCCGGCAGCTTCTGGAAGCTGGAAAAGTCAAGGAATCAGATTCTCCTACTACCGCCACCAGGAAGAATGCAGTCCAGTTGACCCATTTTATTTTAGACTTCTGACCTCCAGGCTGTAACATTATAAACTTGTGTGGTTTTAAGCCACTCAGTTTGTGGCGATATGTCCCAGCAGTCCTAGGAAACTAATACAGAGGGCCACTCCATCCTTAGTTGCCCTGTTAGACAATCTCACCTGAGCATTTGGTATTGGGCCTGACTCTGGAACCATCTTCTCCACTCACTTCTTGGACCTCACTGTCCAGGCGCTCGCTCCCTATCAAGCTCAGCAGAGCACGGGTCCTGCCGTCTGAACCCTCCCGACACAGAAGGCAGCCCTGAGTTCTAAGGAGCAGCATCCTCCTCAGGCATGGTTACTCATGGCCTAGATGATCAGGAATAACCTTAGATCAGGAGGAAACTGAGCCCCAGGAGGAGGTGACTGGCTCACCATCCGTGAGTGACAGTCAGGACCGGACCCCATCTCCAGCATGGCACAGGACATCAGCTAGTCTCCACTCTGGGTCGGCACATCTGGGGTCTTATCCTTCTCTGCCACCACTTAGGGTGAGGCTTAAGTTGGACAAGGCAGATAATTTTTCTCTGAAAAAATAGGATAATTAAAAATATCTTCCTTTTTCACAGAAAATGAATGCTTTAAAGACCAGTGGGAACTTTCTGGTTGATTTCCTTTTCTTGTGCACAGTCATACATCGCTTAACAACAGGGACATGTTCTGAGAAATGTGTTGCTAGGCAATTTCATCATTGTGCGAACATCGTAGCATGTACTTACACAAACCTAGATGGTGCAGCCCACTACACACCTGGGCTACATGGTACTAATCTTACGGGCCCACCATCAGATTTGTGGTCTGTCATTGACTGAAACATCCTTATGTGGTGCATGACTGTACTTTTAAAACAATGAACTCTTCAGAAGAGGGAAGCAGCGCCAGGGAAATTCTTTACTTGTGACTGGAAGTTCCGTGGTGAGAGGTGGCATAGAGATGCACATGAGCAAGCGGGTTCCTATCAGCACACAGCTGTGCCTGCTCGCTTGAGACGGATATTCCTCCCCTCTGCCTCGATCATGCTCAAACCACAGGCGCCCACACACACGCCCCAGCACTACTCTCACTTCTGCTCACCGTCAAGTTCCCTATTTCCAGATATCAGGGGAAAAAAGCATTCCTTTATATGCACATATATGTCTTGCCAGTTTGCCTCCTAACATCTCACTCAAAGTCTGCCTTCTCCATTTCTACGCCAAAACTCAGGGCTGAGCATCCACAAACCACGCCCAGCTCTGCCTTTGCCAGTCTTGTGGTCCTGGATGTGTCACTTTCCTCCCCTAAGACCCTCTCCACAAAGAGATAGTCACGTCTTCCCAATCTGCCCCACCAGGCTGTTCCGAAGCAGGGAACAAAGCCACGCCGGCCTTTCTCTTCCTCAGACTTGCCACAGCCAAGCTCATTTCGCATCGGAGCCTTGGCACTTGCTGCTCCCTGTGCCTGGAAAGCTGTCCTCAAGCTTACATGCCTGCTCCTTCTTGTCTTCCAGGCCCCAGCTTGGACGTCTCCTGCTCATAGGGGTGCTCTCAGCCCGCGCCATCCAAGCACTGCCACCGCCCCCCTGGGCTCCATGAGTCGGGGCACCTAGCTCAGCTTTCCCCATGGCACACATCACTTCTTGGAAGTATCATTTTCATTTCTATGACTGATGAAACAAGCGATCAGATCAGAATGGAAAAGCGTCACAACTCACAAAGGGCTTGCTGGTTGCCACAAACTTCCTTCCAGAGCCTCAGATCTGCACACATGCCGAATGCTACCCAGAAAATTTCTCAGAACTCCCCTGCTTCCACGTCTTCCTCTGCTCCTTGGTTATTTTCTTATTGAGACACAATTCACACACCATACAATTCACCCCTTTACAGTGTATGACTCTGGTTTTTAGGACATTCACAAAATTGTGCAAACATCACCACTATCTAATTCCACAACATTTTCATCACCCCAGAAAGAAACCCCACTCTTCCCTACTCTCTCCCCACCCCCCTCGCCACCCCTGGCAACCACTAATCTGCTTTCTGTCTATATGAATTTAGGTATGTTGGACATTTCATATAAATGGAATCATACGATATATAGCCTTTTGTGTCTGGATTCTTTCACTCAGCGTAATGTTTTCAAGGTTCACCCACCTTGAAGCCTGTATCAGTATTTGTTGCTTTTTACGGCTGAATAATATTCTATTGTATGGGTATGCCATATTTTATTCATCCATCGGTCAGCTGATGCAGATTTATGCTGTTTCCGCTGCTTGACTGTTAGGAACAATGTTGCCATGGACATTTGCATACAAGTTTTTACATGGACATTTGTTTTCAATTCCCCTGGGGATGTACCTAGGATTGGGCTTGCTGGGTGATGTGGTAACCACATGTTTGACATTTTGAGGAATGCCAAATTGTTTTCCAAAGTGGCTGCACCATTTTACATCCTCATGAGCAATGTGTGTCCTCTCCAGTTAATGTTAAGAGTCTCAACCGTTCAGTTCTATGAAAGTAGAAAGAGAAAAAAATGGTCTGTGTTGACGGGGGGTGGGGATCATATCATTTCCTCTCCACTAGGTACATTCACTCATTCGACTAATATTTATTATTCATCTAATCTGTACCTGGTATGGTTGTTAGGTACAAAAAAATCCCTGCTCACCTGAAATTTACATTCTATCAAGGTGGGGGAAGGGAGGGAAAAAACAATGGAGAAACATAATGCAAGGAAATTGCTATTTTAATTAGGGTCATCAATGAAAGACTCAGTAAGAAGCAAAGACATGAAGGATGTGAGGGACTGGAGCCTGTGGCTATCTGGGGAAGAGTATTCTGGGCAGAGAGAACAGCAAGTGCAAAGGTCCTGAGACAGGGGTGTACCCTAGCACGTTCAAAGAACACCTAAGAGGCCAGTGCAGTTGGAGTGGGTTGAGCCAGGGGGAGCAGAGAAGAAGAGGAGACCAGGGAGATGACGTGGAGGGGAACCAGACAGTGAGCACCTTGTAGCCTCTGTAAGGACTCTGGATTTTTACTCTGAGTAGGATGAGAGGTCATTGGAGCATTTTGACCAGAGGAGAGACAGGATCTGGCCCACAATTTCAAAGGATCTTTATGGGATATGAGAGAAGAGATGGCTTCCCCCCCAGGTTTTGCCTGAGCCCCTAGACAGATGGCGTTCCCAAACACAAAGATGAGAGAGAAAGAAATTTGAGGGGGAAGATGTGGTCAGGTCATGTTTGAAATGTCATCATCTGAGTGGAGCTGTTGAATGGGCAGCTGGACAGAAGATTCTGGAGTCCAGGGGCTGTCCAGGCTGGGTATAAAAAATTGGGAGTCATCTGTACAGAGATGGTATGTATAGCCAGGAGAGGGGTTGAGATCAACAAAGGAGTAACTCTAGACCAAGAGGAAGCCCAAAGACTGAGCCCTGAGGCCCTCTAACACTTCAAAGTCAAGAAAATCCCCTTAATTTGTTGTTTTGCTGTTGAAATTTACTTGAGCCCTCAGTCTCCGCTCACATCTCAGCCCCTCCTTTCCTCTTCGTCCTGACCAAGCTCACGTCCTCTTGACTTTTCCTGTCCCTCAGAAACTTTTCTATTTCCTTCCAAGCCAAATGCCTAGAATCTCCCCTCTCTCCCCTGTCTGGCAAACTCCCTGCTTTCCTTTCTTCAAAGCCCCCTCCACCCTCACTTCTTCCTCGAAGCCTTCCCTTGCTCATAATGCGTTCCAGACGGTCACAGTGCCTGAGCAAGTATTCACCAGCTGTCCTGAGCAACTAGGGCTCCTCTGCTTGTCCCTGACGAGTGGGGCTCATCAGCCCATCCATTTTCCGCCCCTGGATGGTCAGGAATGATGCCTTGTACTGGGTTCATTATGAAGGCCATGCTGCATACTTCTGTGTTGGCAACTGTGGGCACTAAAACACTGGGTGAGTGACTGAGTGGGTCAAACACACGGGCTCCTTACTTGAAGGAACTTCCTAGAATGGGGTCAGCTTCTCAGAAGGACACTCGGCTGGAACCTCTCCTCCCTCTGCCAGCCGCTTCCTCCTGCCTGATAAGCGTTTCCCACGAGTACAGACCCAGGCCCCGCTCACCTGACAACCCGAAGAGGAGGAGAAAGAAGAGCAGCAGGTGCATTTTCTCTTCACACGGGTTCCCCTGGGTCAAGCCTGCCAGCAAGAGCCAACTACAGACTGGACTCCCTCATCTCCCAAGCCTTCTGCTTTTGCTCACTCTCGCTCTTACACTTCCTCCTTCAGACACTTCCCACTGGTCAATAAAACTAAAAGAGGAAGGAGGTGGGATGGGTGAAATTTCAAGGCAGTTAGCAACGCAACAAGTCGTAGTGATCATGAATAAGCTTTTGAGAAATACCTCCCTGCTCAGAGCCATGATGGGTTCTCTAAAAAGAGACCTTTGCAGCTGCTTCTTGGTCTTGTGGAGACTTGCAGACACAGACCCACTGGGTTTGGTTCTTACACAATCCTTCTGCCTGGTGGGAAGACCGGGGCAGGGAGAACCCAGCTTCATCAGAGACGTCTTAGAGAGCCAAGGCTGATGGACACAATGCCCTAAACATGGAATTGCATGTGTAGCCAGATTCTTGAAAGTCCGGAAGGTCAGGAGTTCAACCATATTAAGGAGAGCTTGGGTCCAAGTCAGAAAGCCAGAGGGGAGATTCTAGACCAGAGAGTGGCATGAGGGGGTGAGGGGGAATGAAAACCCAGACTACACAGAAAGGAGCTCGAAGAGTAGAGGCATGTGAGAAGGGAACTACTGGTCGAATGGGCAAGAGGGGCTCCTGTCCCAAGAACGTACCAGAAACTCTTACTGCTGTGCCCCAGCCCGTGGATATTGACACCAGCCTGAATCCTCCAGAAACTTGTCAGTTATATCGGGGCTCCTTCCCAAAGAAACCAGCTCATTGCTCATGGCTGTTACCCCCTCGCTCCGTGCTCCCATGTTATAACAAGTGTCTTGCAAAGCTGGAAGAAAGGAAGCACCTGCTCTCTGGGTCTCACTCCCTTCTTTCTGACAACCTTGTGCCCATCCCCCGCCCCCCTCCCCATCAGGGTCTCAGTGAGCCCTTGGGGTAGGAAAATATAGGGCCTGTCTCATATTTTGCTCCTGGAACCACTTTTGCAATGTGTCACACACACCCTATGACTTCTTGAGAAGCAAGTGAGTCCCAAGGAGGGACAAAAGCCCCTCACATCGTAATCAGGAATGAGTAGGTGTGCAGGAGGGTTATTTGCATGGAAAAACACAGCAGCTGATAAGCCGAGGCTTTTCCAGGATGTGGTCAGAGACTGCCTTTCTCTTTACATATCTCCAGACCGTAAAGTAAGGTCCACAATACGGGGTGAGGGCCCGTCAGACCCTGGTCCCCACTGCTCAGCAAGCCTGTCCTCTGCCCAGGGCACTGTCTAGTTACGCTGAGAGACAGCGGGCCTCTGCAAACAGGGACCCATTTGGCTTCCAGGGGAAATGGCCGAGGAATTAAGAAAGATGGGACAGCGCTGAAAAACAAGGGGGCAGATGTTTTGTGGGTTGTAGGATGATCTTTCCTTTCCTGGGCATGGGAAGTAAAGAGTGAACAGCATCGGAGTTGCTCACACTTCTGCTGTGGCCCAACCCCCTGGTCCCAGGCCCTCCCGGGCCCAGCTTACCCAAGGAGGACTCCCCTTTGATCAAGAACAGAGGCTCATCCGAGTGTCCCTGAGCCGTGGCAAGACTGCTCCTCTAAACCAGTGCCTCTGGGGACTACAGGAGAGTCAGCCTATTCTAGAGGCCTGCGTTCGCAAAGACCCATCTGGGGCCCAATCCTGGCTTGGCCATTGACTTCCGCAGGAGTCAGCTAGCCGGGGTCTCCAGGCCTCCACAGCCCCATCTGTGAAACAACAGATTGGATGGATCATCTGAGATTGCCCCTGCCCTAAAGCACCTGTGTGTATGTGTGCATGACGTATAGGAGTCCTTGTGTATGTGTGCACGTGTATACATGCCTGTTTGAGCACACATGTGGGGTGTTCCAGTTTGTATGCGGGCATATGTGTGGGAGCTATGTGTATACATGTATACTGCACTGTGTGTGCCAGTGCTGTGTATGTGCACGTGTGTTGTGTGTGCATGTATACATCATGTGTGTGCTATGGTGCATTGTGTGTGCACGTGTATTGTGTGTGTTGATGCATTCATTGGGTTTTCCTGGTTGCAGGAAACAAAGACTTGCTCAAGCTACTCCTCTTGGTCCCGTTGGACTTACAAAGTACAGGCCATCTTTTCAGAACCCCATCTGTTCGTAGAGGGAGGAGCTCCTATATTGAAAGGGCTGGTTTTGTTGGGTCTCTCTCACTCTGGAATAGAAGGTCCACGAGAAATTGGTTGCAAGGCCCACTTGAGAATTAGAAAACCAAAGTCTAAACCAGGTGGAAGTGAAGAAAACCAAGGAACTAGGCCTCTCGGTGGACAAGCAACAGGAAACAGCCTTCAGCCAGACTTCATCAGGACCAGAGCAGACAGTGGCCCAGAACACAGGCACCTTGGGGCTGGAGGGGCTTCGCTGGGCTCTGCACCAACGTGACAGTGGCGCTGCTGCGGTCCCATGCACGGCTCCGCTCAGTGGGGCTTCTAGCTGCTCACTTCTTCATGAGAGTGAGGAAGAGGTGGATTTGCCATGAAGCTAACGGAGCTTAAATGTCAGCACCCCTCACCTGATCAGGCTCCTTTCAAAGCCCTTTATCAAATTTTGTGTTCGTAATTTGGGGATCCTTTTTCTTAAAAAGGGCCCCGATGCTGTATAAGCTTCAGGCCTGTGGTAGATGGTCCCATCCTGGATAACCACCCTCTGACCCCAAACCTGTTCTCACTGAAGACGCGGAGTCTCTTTCTCCACTCCTTGAGTCTGGACCAGACCTGTGACCTACTCTGCCCAAGAAAATGCAGCGTAAGTGATGGTGTGCCAGTTCCAAGCCTCAGCCTGAGGAGGCCTCCTGCATTCCTCCCGCTCTCGTGCACACACCTCTGCTTCTGCCATGAGAACACACCAGGCTAGCCACTGGGTGGGTTGAGAGACACATGGAGCAGAGCCAAGCTGCCCCAGCCAGCAGGCAGCTGACACTCAACGCACAAGAGAGCCCACCGGAGACCAGAAGCACCACCTAGATTAAACTGCAGACTCACACACTCGTTGTAGGCCAGTGAGTTTGGGACAGTTCCTTGCAGCATTATTGTGACAATAGGAACTAAAAGAAGACCCCACAAACCTAGACCTTGCCTACAGCAGCTGCCTCACCCTCCACTCCGTACGACTTTAGCTGTTCCATGGCTTCTCCTCCCCTCTGCCCTTCTGACTTTCCCTCGCAGCTCTTCATGAATGGCCCCTCCTGCCCCCCGCTTCAAGACCCCCACCCACCTTTCTCCCCCTGATGTTGTTCAGATCAGAGCAGACGTTGGACCAATAGAGCCATCAGTGGCTTGTGATTCAAAACAACAAGTTGGTCTAAATTACAAAAGCAATACATGTTCATTTTAGGAAAATAAATTTTGAAATAAAGATAAGGTTTAAAAAAATTAATTTTCTCTAATCTCACCACTGAGATAATCACTTTTAACATTAAGCTTATGGTTTGCCCATCTTTGGTCTCTTCCTGCAGAAATGCCAGGTCACTGCAGAAATCAGGCGGAGTCACCAATGGGTGAGCTCATGTCACTCATTGCTCAACAGATTTTCACTGCAAACACCGTCTACTTTGGAAAAAGATGTCCTATAAAACAAATATCACCAAGAAGGATGTTTTTAAAACTTTTGAGAGCCAGCTCGCATTTCTTTTTGGTGGAAATGCATCCAGGGACAGCAACCCCAAACTCCTCTTGGTCACTTTGGACTTGCAAACCACAGACAATCTTTTCAGAAACCAACTTGTTCATCAGTGAAGGAAGCTCTGTATTGAAGGACCAATTTTGTTGGGTCTCTCCCACTCTGGATTAGAAGGTCCCTGGGGGCTATATCTTCAACTGATAAAACCACATTTGGCACATGGTAGTTGCTCAATAAATAATTGATGGAAAATGAATAAAGGTATGAACTATTGTCGTTTCTGCATTGTCGTTCTTCCCCTGGCCTTGTAGGTTCTGCTAGGAAACTCTGTCTAGCACCTAAGAACCAGTCATAAACCGTAATTGTTCTCAGCGACCATTCCCGAACCCTTTCAGATCACCTTGGACTCAACTGCGCTTCATCGTCTCTACTCACTATGTGCTATGCTCCATATTTTTATACTTATCACATTGAATCCTCACTACAAATCTAGAGGAAAGGTGATGCTATTCCCATTTTTCAGATAAAGATATTAAAGCTCAGAGAGCAAGTAACTTGTCCAAGGTCACATGGCTATTAATTGGAAAAGCTAGGATTCAACTCTGGGTCTCGCTCATATAAGCATGCCATCCTGCCTCCTGCTGGGGAGGTCCAGAGAGAAGCCAGCTGCCCTTTGATCCTGTTAGTGCTGACAATGAAGAAGGAACCTGACTTCAAAGGGTTAATAAGACAGCGCATCCTTGAGCTGGTTGTCATCAGCATATTCACTCCATGGTTGTTTTTAAAACAAGCTCTCCAAAGATAAAAGAAGTATTATCATGGATTGGAAACCGACTTAATGAAGCGGGTAACTGATAACACCAACCTTTAGCATTTTCCAGGTCTTATGTCCCTTTTTGCAATCTGTGGAATAGGAAACTGAGCCTCGACCAAGCTCTTGTCCAGGAATTCAGGCAGAGGCAAAGCTTATTTTTGAGAAAAACATGGGTCTCCAAAGAGTGAGTTAACCCTCTGCAAGGGTGAGAAGAGGAAAGGGGTCTTTGATTTTCAGGACAGAGTGTCTGTCATTTGTGCCACCTGCTCCTCAGGTATCAACGGTGTGCAAGGCTTGCTGAAATCGACAAAGCGGAACAGCTGTAGTTCAAGTTCCCTCTGCGCAGAGGGCTTGATCTTTTTTAAAGCACTGATTAGGGCACTGGATATATTTGGAAAAATAAAATGAAGCATGTGTTCAGCAACAGTTAGGCTAAACATTGGCGTTCCTCTTGGGTCTTACCAGAGTCGTCCTTGCACAACAGGCCTCCCCAACATACACAGACGTTTTTGCTGATTACGAAAGTAATGTGTGTTCATTACAGGAGAACAGTGAAATACAGATGAATACAAGATGCGTTTTTAATCACCCCTAATCCCCCACACAGAGACAAGCACGGTTAAATACGTGTG